CTCTTGGACCCTTACCCTAAGTAAGGGTCTGACAGATGAGATTTGCAATTTGAGAAGATCACTCTGGCTGCAGCATCAATATTTGTAAATAATTTATCTGAATCTCATACTTGTTGTAGCTCTTGACATTTACAGAGAGGCCAAAAAGACTATGGGGAGACCTCATGGTTGTCAGAGAGATGATGGTGGCTTGGACTGTTGACAGGGGATGAGAGAGGTTGAACAGTTTGCAAATTTATTAAAACCTTGTGTGTGTAGTTGAAGAATGATCATATTACCGTTTCTTGCTCAAAGGCCCTACATGTGACTGTACCAAAAACACAGAACGCAGGAAGACACACCAACGTAGACACTGCTGACCAAGAAGCATCTTCGTCTGCTGATCTGATTGGTTGGGCGTGCCGAGCAACATTCCCTGTGCAGGTCTGTTTGGTTTTGATAGCATCCCACGGCAAGGAGGGTCCAAGACTAAGGGGTTGGTCATGAGACCATGTGATCTCCTCTTGCTTACCTTTGCATGAGGGCAGAAGAAGGGCCTGGCTGCATATCCAAGCTTGCTGCTGCTGTCATTATGGCATAGCACATAAGGTCACTCAGCAGACTCATGTAACCAGCAAAGGGTCTACTCGCCACTGGTACAAAAATGCCAGAATAACAAGAGCAAAGTGTGATAAGGAGATTTTATCATCCATGCTAATAAGAGAAGGAGTGGGCAAGATTCTTTCCAAAAATTTCCACCCTTCAATTTATGGAGGGAATGCAGGGGTTTTTAAAGAGAGAGGGGTTTGGAATGGAGAGGAAGGGGGCTAGGAGGGGTCAGTGGTGCGATCCACTCCAACAGCTTATCTTGAATTATTGTTCCCTTTGGTGAAGGGGCCAGTGCCATCCTGGGCCTGACCAGGTTGCAAATGAACTGCAGCCAGTCTTGCAGTTAATTTCTAGTGCGTGAGCGTGAGTAAACGTGAGTGAGTGTAGCCAGGAGTAAATTTCAGCCTTGACTGGGGAGAGAATTCTGGAGGTATAAGGTCCATGTCAAGATCCAGCCCCTGGATGGGCACAATGGCTCACACCTGTAATCCCAGCACTTTGAGAGGCCGAGGTGGGCAGATCGCTTAAGGTCAGGAGTTTGAGACCAGACTGGCCAATATGGCGAAACCCCGTCTATACTAAAAATACAAAAATTAGCTGGGTGTGGTGGTGCGCGCCTGTAATCCCAGCTACTCGGGAGGCTGAGATAGGAGAATTGCTTGAACCCAGGAGGTAGAGGTTGCAATGAGCCAAGGTCACGCCACTGCACTCCAGCCTGGGAGACAGAGCAAGACTCCATCACACACACACACAAAAGATCCAGCCCCTGAAGCTTCTAAGGAAATACATTACCAGATAAGTGAGCATGGTGTGTGCTTGACAAGCGTTTGGGTAAATAAATGTGCATACGGCATGGGAGCATGGAATGGGGAAGAATAGGGAGTGGAGGTTCACAGTCCATTCTGAGGCTGTATGTCAACATGACAGGAAACACATATACAGCTTGTCTCAAAGTTGTATCTTGAGACTAGGGAGAAAGAAGGAAAGAAAACAAGGTTTTAAAATGCATTTTGAAGCCAAGCTGCTTGGATACAGTCAGATTGCCTGGATTCAAATGGCTATTTCTACCACTTCACTGACTAGCTCTGTGGAACATTCCAGAACTTCTCTATTCTTCTGTTTCCTCTTTTTTTCCCCTTAATTTACTTTTTTTGTGGGGGGGCCAGGTAAGAGACAGGATATCCCTATGTTGCCTAGGCACACCCTGAACTCCCAGGCTTAAACAATCCTCCCACCCCAGCCTTCCAAGTAACTGAGACTACAGGCACCTGCCACCACCCCCGGCTGGTTTCCTCATCTTTGAAACAGGAAGAAAAACAATAGCAACCACTGTTGGAGTTTTAGGAGACCAATAAACACTCTTTCTGCCCCTTCTGAGTTCAGAACTAAGGAAGAAAAGCAGATGTCAGCCAGGTAGAGATCAAAATGTCATCTTCATTGCTGACAACAGCTAGACTGGAGGATGTGGTTGAGGTGAAAATACTTTACCCCCAGTCACTAACACAGCAACTGCAGACAGCCCATTACCAGGGCATAGGATGGTCCAACCCAGCACCGCACCTTCTCAGAAAGTTACCAGTCAGAGAAATCCTCCTCCTGCTTTGGGGAAAAGGGGGATGAAAGCTAGATAGACATGTTCCTCCACACCTGGCCCCACTGGGAAATAGAATGGGAATCTCCTCCTGTCCTTGAAAATATGAGAAGCAAGAATAAGTGATTCTCTCCACACCATTTTATGGGCTCATGAGGTTGTTACGAGATTGTTAAGGAAAAACAAAGCTAAAGTGTCTAGAATACAGAATCCATAAGGTTTCATCTCTGGCATCAACTATCCTGGCTGGTCAGGCCAGCCAGATAGGCAAGGCTGGTTAACCGAGGGAAGTTGTGGTTGAGTGAGAAACAGCATGAAGTAAGGGAGTTCTTGAAAGGGGATTTCTCTCTCTCTCTTTCTCCTTGTTCCTTACACTCAGGAAACCTTGAGAGTTCCCTAAAGGGAAATGCTGACCAAATATGAACTGGCAAGTCTTTTTTTTTTTTTTCTGAGATGGAGTCTTGCTCTGTCACCCAGGCTGGAGTACAGTGGTGTTATCTCAGCTCACTGCAAACTCTGCCTCCTGGGTCCAAGCAATTCTCCTGCCTCAGCCTCCCAAGTAGCTAGGATTACAGGCATGTGCCACCACACCCAGCTAACTTTTTATATTTTGAATAGGGACAGAGTTTCACCATGTTGGCCAGGCTGGTCTCGAACTCCTGGGCTCAAGTGATACACCCCTCCTTGGCCTCCCAAAGTGCTGGGATTATGGGTGTGAGCCAGCACACCTAGCCTGGCAAGTCTTAAATTAAAACTGGGGGAAATCCTCCCAAAACTATGTATCTTCAATTATACACCAACCCAGTGACTTATGAGCACAGCTTCATGGCCCAGCATTTTTTAAGGGTGTGTGTTTGCACTGCTTCTGTTGGTTTTGGGTAGGATTTTTTTGGAGGGAAGTGGGGAGAGGAAGGCACTGTGGTGTGTTTTTCAAGGCAGCCTCCCTCCTCACCTCTTACAATTAAGCAATTAAGAATCGCAAGCAGGGAAGTCACTGGGAGCAAACAGGAACCAGCCCTAGGGAAAGCCCTGTCCAATCACTGAACAATAGCAATTCCGTTTAAGGTGAGTGCAATAAGGCAGGAAATAACATGCTGTGTTGACAACATGCCTTACTGATAGATTGCGGTTCTGCAAGCAATACATCAGCAATGCCACACTTGCCACCTGACCTGCCTCAGCCAATCCCAGTTCATCTACCTGATGGAGCAAGGCTGCCGGTTGTGTGGACATCAAGGGAAAAGCCCAGGGGAGCAGGAAGTTGTTGATCTGTGAGCCTAGTGGTTCTCTTCCCTGTGCTGAATCACCTCTTGGTGGGGCACTGGGAGACCACACCTGAGTTTCTGAGACATATGGAAACCCCCATCAGGCTGGCTCTCTCACAGGTTTTACCTTGGGTAAATCCTGCTACAGAGACCATTCCCCCTTGGTATTTCCAACTAAGGCATCTTTAGCTCCTCCTCCTTTTCCTCTAGTGGGGATGTACACAGATGGCACAGGCTCCTGGGCCCACAAGTTCACTGTGGTTGCATAATCCACAAAAAGATTTTTCCTGAAAATTGAGCCGTAAATATATTGCTAAGTTAGCAATAATAATAATGTTCAGTGAGCACTTACAGTGTTGGGTACTATATTAATATTCACCATAGGAAGTACTATTGCTATCTACATTTTATAGATGAAGAATTAAAAAGTAGAGAGGTAATATTCCCAGAGCCCCTATCTACTATAGCCACAATATTTAGCTGAAGGAAAGGAATTCAACACTTTATCTTCCACAATCTGTTTTCATGGATTCAAGAGAATATAAAACCTGGAAAAGGCCTTAGAAATAATTGAGTGTAGCCTTTTATTTTACAGATCAGAAAACAGACCTGGAGAGGGGTTAGGGTTTATTTGCCCCAGTCCCAGGTAAGATCATGAGTGAGCCCCCAAACTCCCACTTTTGGGGCTACTCCCATAACATACCCCTTTCTTCCCTCACAGAAATCACTCTCCTGAATTTATCTTTTTTTTTTTTTTTTTTTGAGATGGAATTTTGCTCTTGTCGCCCAGGCTGGAGTGCAATGGCGCGATCTTTGCTCACTACACGCAACCTCTGCCTCCAGGGTTCAAGTGATTCTCCTGCCTCAGCCTCCCTAGTAGCTGGGATACCATGCCTTGCTAATTTTTTTTTTTTTTTTAAAGCAGAGACAGGGTTTCTCCATCTTGGTCAGGCTGGTCTTGAACTCCCGACCTCGGGTGATCCGCCCGCCTCTGCCCCTCAAAGTGCTGGGATTACAGGTGTAAGCCACCACTCCCGGCCTTCTTGAATGTATCTTAATCATTTTTTTGCTTTTTAATTCGCCGTAAGTATGCCCATTTTCTTCTCTTCTTGCTACCATTTTTACTGAAAGAGGGAAAGAGAAAAAAGTGAGAAGGACAGCTAAGAAGGTAACAGCGTAGGGAGGAAGGGAAGAAACAGAGAGAAAGGTCTCATCTGCTTGTGGATTAATGTGAAACTGAATAACTCAACTGCTAGAATCCTGGTTTGAGCGTCAAGATGTCTAAGGTCAAGCCCAATCCCTGTGTGACACTCTCAGTCTCGCCTCCTGGCAATTAAGTTTCCCCAGCTGTAAACCCATACATTTACATCCACCAGATTCCCCGAAAGCACTTTGCCCTCATCAAAGAAGTCCGCCCAGGCCTCCAGAACCATCCCTTTACTCTCAACCAACATGGCGACTGTGGGTGACGTCAACTTCCGTCGCCCACACCCACCTCCCTTCCCCTAGGGGGCGGCGAACCTCAATGACGGCTTCGACTGGGGCGCATGCGCGGCGGCGGGGCTCGGCCCGCGGCGGCGGCGGCAAAGGGGCGGAGGGGTTCTCTGCCAGCAGTTGCCAAGCTGCTGCGGTCGTGGCGGGATGGTATAGCTGAGCCTGAGGGCGGGCGGCGGGGTGCGGGCGGGGGCGAGGCGGCCGGGAACGGCCGACGCCGCCTGACTGGCTTGGGAGCAGCGGTAGCAAGCTGAGGGGGCGTCGCCGCCGCCGGCCCCCGGCGCCGCCGCGGGAGGCCGCGCCCGCCATGGCGGCCCGGGCGGTACTGGACGAGTTCACGGCGCCAGCCGAGAAGGCGGAGCTGCTGGAGCAGAGCCGCGGCCGTATCGAGGGCCTATTCGGCGTAAACCTGGCCGTGCTCGGCGCGCTAGGGGCTGAGGAGCCGCTGCCCGCGCGCATCTGGCTGCAGCTCTGCGGGGCGCAGGAGGCGGTGCACAGCGCCAAGGTGAGTCTGGCCGCCGCCCCCGCGCGCCCGCGGCCTGGATCGATCTGGGTCTCCGGGCGCCCGCTCCTCCCCGCCCCCGTCGTCCGCCGCGATGCGCCGGGGTTGGGAACGCAGTCTCGGGAGTCCGCGAACCTGCCTTCTCGGCTCGCGAGCCATGTGACCTTGGATAGCGGCTTGATCCCCGGAGCCTTAGTTTCCCCATTTGTAAAGTGGCGCTGACGAAAGTACCTACCTCAGAGGGCTGTTGCAAGGATGAAAGTGGGGGATGTGCATGAAGCGCGGGCATAGCTTGTGGCAACGGACCGGGCGCGCTGCGCATGTCGCCTGTTGTTATCTGTTCCCCGGCCACCAGGATGGTACGCAAGGCCTGGTGCTGGGCCCGCAGCCTCGTTATCCACCACCTAAGCCTTTATCCCCCAGCCCCGGGCCTCCACTACTGCAGTTCTGAGCCTTTTTGGGATCTCAGTTCCCCTTGAGAATCGGCAAAAAAACATTAATAGTAATAAAACGCTCGGAGAATGTCAGAAAGAAAGGATGTATGTTTATTTACCTATTTTTTTCTATTTGAGACAGGGTCTCACTCTGTCACCCACACTGGAGTGCAGTGTGGCGCGATCTCAGTTCACTGCAGCCTCGACTTTCCGGGCTCAAGTGATCCTCCCACCTGAGCCTCCCGAGGAGCTAAGACCGCAGGAGCGCGCCACCACGCCCAGCTCATTTTTTTTGTTGTTGTTTGTTTGTAGTGACGAGATTTCACTATGTTGCCCGGGCAGGTCTCAAACTCCTGGACTCAAGTCATCCTCCCACCTCGGTCGCCCAAAGTGCTGGAACTACACGCGGGAGCCACCGCGCCCGGCCTGATATTTAATATGTTAAAAAACAGCATTATTCCTTGTATCGATATTACGTACAACTAACATTTACATAACGCTTATAGAACATCAGAGGTTACTTCAGAAGGAATTTGCAGCCCTTAATGGCTTCTAATAAGGTAGATTTTATCCTCCCCACCACCACCCCGCTGTCTTTTTTTTTTTTTTTTTTTTTAATTAACAGCTGGGGAAACTGAAACTCAAAGTGGTGACTCACCTTCTGCCTAAATCAGCATTTCAGACCTCTTCAGCACCTCTATCTACTTCCCTCCCTTTGCAAACCAAAAAGCAACACAGTACGTTCCTCCTCCTAGGTAACCAAGTTTTTCTAGGTTTTTCCATCTCCTAAGTAGGGCAGCAGGATTCAGACCTAAGGAGTTTGTTTCCAGAGCCTTCGTTCTCGATACTTGCCTTTCATACGATGAGCCCTGTCTGCAGGGTGGGCAGGAAGGGCCCTCTTTTTGCATCCTACTTGACAAATGTCAGTGTCCTTGAATCTGAGTAGTCATATCTCCTGATGTTCTTAGATTTAACAAAAAATCGTGAGTGTTTGCTTTAAACATGCTTAGAGGAGACAGGGCATTCAGCTGTATAGTTCTTCACAGCTTAACTTAAAACATTTTAGGCTGGGCGCGGTAGTTTACGCCTGTAATCCTAGCACTTTGGGAGGCCGAGGCGGGTGGATCAGGAGATCGAGACCGTCCTGGGTAACACGGTAAAAACCGTGTTCCTCTTGAGATTAGGAAAAAAACCATTAATAGTAATAAAACACTTGGAGAATGTCAGAAAGAAAGGATGTATGTTTACCTGTTTTTTTCTATTTGAGACAGGGTCTCACTCTGTCATCAACAGTGGAGTGCAGTGGCGTCTCTACTAAAAATACAAAAAATTAGCCTGGCATGGTGGCACGCGCCTGTAGTCCCAGCTACTCAGGAGGCTGAGGCAGGAGAATCGCTTGAACCCGGAAGGCAGAGGTTGCTGTGAGCCGAGATCGCGCCACTGCACTCCAGTCTGGGCGACAGCGCCAGACTCCCTCTCAAAACAAAACAAAACAAAAAGCCAACATTGTAGATGTAGAACCAAGTTTGCTTTCCTGGGCTTAACTTTTTTAGTCAGTTGGATTGCAGACAGCTGGTCTAAGGCGCATTCCCCTTTGTCCATTCTTCCCAGGTATCCAATCTTCTGCACTTCTCAGGGCTTAAACGCTTGACATGATTAAGTCCTGCTTTTTCTTCTGAAAATCTCTTACGTGCATTCGTTCCTTTCCTTTCTATTGCGTTTGCTGCAGTTAAGACTTTCATTACTGTGTGTCCCCTCCCTTGCTCCATTGCCTTTATTCATTCATTGCTCCCTCCCTCCCTGGTTCAACTTGTATTAGAGTAATCCTCCTGCAAAAAGTCATTCTCCTGCCCTGGAACCTACTAGAGCCTCCTGTCACCTGTCTCATTCAGCCTAAACTCCTCCTCTGACTTACAGAACGATTAATCCAACCCCACTTTATTTTTCCAATGTTCTGGTTTAGCACCTTTCAGCTTAAACCTCCACTGTAGTAGTCTCTGCCTTTGCTGTGCATTCTGCCTGCTCTGGGTTCTGCTTTTGCTCAAGATTCATCGCAAGCATGGAGAATGACTCCTTTGCTCTACAGAAGAGCCCTGCTGGTCCTGCCAGACCTTCCCAGTGCCAGTTTTCTTGGCTGTCCTTGCCACACAGTTCAGCCAAGCTGTCTGGGAAAGGTGTGTCTTACAGTTTCTTGCTAGTATGTGCTCCTGCTTGTTGATCTTTGTGATATGTATTACTCATAAGTCAACCCTCCCACTTGTAAGAAATTTTTTTTTTCTCCCCTTGAGACTCATGGGTAAGAGTTGAACGCCACAATCAGGGCTTTTTTGTTCTGAATTTGTTTTGGAGTTTGTTTTACTTTCTTGAAGGAAGAGAAAACCATTATCTTGATTTTAAAAACTAAGAACAGGAAAGCAAATTTGATTCAATGTCTGTAATATTTTAAGTTAGGCTGTGGAAGAGCAGCAGATTTAGAGGAAGGAAGATTTAGAGTAAAAAAGAGTTTTTCAATTATAGTGTCTCTGCTCAAAATAAGATGAGGTGAAGTGTCTTGTGTCCCACCACGTGGTTTACTTGTGTTTTGCCTTTAAAATGTTAATTCACTGCTTTTTGCAAATGATAGAGTAGAGGAGAATGTAGAGCTTAGTTAAGTGGGCTGCCATTGACTGCAGAGGGGTGAAATGGAAACTGCTAGTTGACAGTGATAGTGCCCATGCAGGCTGAAAAACAGGCACTGACTCTGTACCAGTGGCCACTTTTGTTAAAGGGAAGATTTGTTGTAGGAAGCAGTACTTCAGCTGGCCTTTGAAGAGCCAGATATTCCCAGGTGCCTGACCTTCCAGAGGTGGTTGTGGAGCAAAGGCCCAAAAAACATGGAGTGTCATGGTAAACGGTATCCAGGTGCTCCTGTGAAAGATGAAGCCTGAGGTACCAAAATGTCAGGCTAAGGTCATTGGACCTTATTTAATAGAGAATCGGTGAGGATTTTGAGAAGCATGGACTCTTCCTGAAACAGAAGACCAACAGTGGAAGGAACATTGTTGCAAGTTAGCCTTGGGCATAAGGGGGGCAGGGGTGGCAAGGTTTTCACAGGGACAGGGCAGCTGTGTGGATGTAGGGATTTAGGGGTTGGTTTTAAGCCAGGTGGCAGGAGGGATGGTTAAGTTGTTTGACCTGTTGACTGGTGGGGCTACCAGCTTGTCAACATTTAAGGAACTCTGGTGCCAGGGAGTGTACTGACGGTTACCCCTTGACCTCAAGGATCCCATTGCCTCTTAGGGGAGACAGACATGGGGAAGATACAGTAAAGTGTGATACATATAACAACTGCAGTGTGTGCAAGGTGTTTCTGTAACACAGGAATGGAAGGGTTGCTCTGCCAGCTGGTTTCCTAGGGAGCAGGGAGCTCCTGGCAGAGGGAAGAAGCTGTGCGCAATCACAGGGGCATGAAAGAGGGCAGTTGCGTCACACATCAAAGTGCTTGGGGCCTGCTGCGGAACATGGATTTTACCCTGCAGATAGTCAGTGAAGAGTCATGGAAGAGTTAGGAGGACATGAGAGATTTACATTTCCACAAATGTCTCAGTGTTTACACCTCTGGGCTGGGGCTGCTCAGTGTGGTCTGTTGCTGGTTTTCAATAGTATGAGTACAGAAATTGAGAATAAGGGTTGAGCAACTTTTGTGCAATTTGGCATTAATACAGGGGCTAGAGAGGCAATGTCTAAGAGTGAGAAGAAGTCCTTATAAGAGGGCAGTGTCCATAGGGGGCCCAAAGAGAGGGGACTGATGTCAGTGCTGGAAGACATCTTGGAAACAAAGGAGTGTAAGGATTGAATTTCAGAGACGAAAGGGAGGTACTAGCCAGCTGTTGCCTCATTGGCAAATAGAGATTAAAGTGAAGAAACAGAGGTGGGACCCTCCCTGTGAAGCAGTGGTGGAAAGGGATGAAGTTGAGGCGACGAGTTAGAATTCTTCTTTTAGGCCGGGCGCAGTGGCTCATGCCTGTAATCCCAGCACTCTGGGAGGCTGAGGTGCTCTGATCACCTGAGGTCGGGAGTTCAAGACCAGCCTGACCAACATTGAGAAACCCTGTCTCTACTAACATTACAAAATTAGCTGGGTGGGGTGGCGCATGCCTGTGATCCCAGCTACTCAGGAGGCTGAGGCAGGAGAATTGCTTGAACCAGGGAGGTGGAGGTTGCGGTGAGCCAAGATTGCGCCATTGTACACCAGCCTGGGTAACAAGAGCAAACCGTCTCAAGAGAAAAAAAAGAACCCTTCTTTTAGATCAAAGAGCCACAAACTCAGAGTGCTTCCTGAGAACCAGGCAGGGAACCTGTGTAGGAAAGTGAGATGGTCGGGAGGAGAGACTGTGATGAACGAAGGCACAGGACCCTGTTGGAGAGGGCGGATTCCCATGTGTATCGCATTGGTCAGTTACACAGTGGGGCTCAGTGATGTCCAGTGTTCTCATTAAGAGAAGCAAGGAGTCCGGATTTAATTATATATAACATTGTATTTCTTTAAGTGGCCGCTAATTTACATTTTTAAAATCATACACATCGAAT